TAAAAATACACACATTTTATACTGAAATATACATCTTTCTCCGGCTATTGACGTCATTTAACAAGACTGATGGTAAATTATGATAAATTTCAAATAATACATTAGTTGTTTTACTTTAGGTACTATTTAAAAATGATTGATTGATGGTGGGTGTTTCGTTTTTTATTTTAGGTACTGAATTGAATGAAAGGTTAGGTTAATTGAAATGAATAAAATAGGTGTATTTTATAAATTATTTATTCACACAGTTTTGGTTATCATGACATTTTGAACTGTACAACATTTCTGTTGCATTGCAAGCACATTTTTTAGTGCCGCAACCAGTTTTATAGTTGCATCGATTGAAGCCTTGATGACTAACTATTCCTTGTCCTTCGGCTTCACTTAATGTTATTTTCCAATCTTTAATATTTTTATGGCTTCAACTAGGTTTATACATTTTACTTAACTTGGGGAAATTTGTGCTCTAGTATATTTATGTTTCAATGCGTCCTATTCTGTACCTGGTTCAAACACTCGGGTACTTATTTTATTTAAAGTTAAATAAATATTATCAAATCAGAATTAACTAGCATAATTTATACGTCATTTTCACAAAAAAAAAAGTAATAACACAAAAATAATAATAGAATTATCTATCTGATTTCATCATGATATTTTTAACTAACGAAGCTTTGTTGAGCACCACTTATCGTCCACACTGACATAAATGTATTGAACATCATTCTCCGACTAAATTGGGAATTGACGTCAATAACTAGCGAATGTCTACATTTACAACAATTACCAATTTTTAGGTTTTTACCCGGGAACAACGTCATTTATCATGTTTACTTCATTCACAGTAACATATTTATGATTATAAAAATGTATTGTAGTTACGAATAGTGTATACGTATCACATTATACTATTGTCAGATCGTCATTAAGTTTGGTCTTATTTTTTTAACAGTAGATATTTTAAAATGCCTACAATATTATTTGTGTTTACAAATAGTGTATACGCATGATCCTGCAAATTATTCGAGGGATTATAGTAGGATATTAATCATGATGGAATAGTAATTTGTGTATACCGTATAGATGATTCGGGAGGGCATGGCTCGTAAAGTCGGAATATTTAATCATGAGATTTAGTACATTTGGTTTAAAACGTACCTACCTACCTATTTTATCCGTTTATCTAAAACAAACAAATGGTTTTTCTACAGCTTAAAATATTATGAAGCACGCACACCTCTGAAACGTAAAATAATATAAAGATGTATGATGAAATTCCACGTTCGATTTTTCAGTGCGCATACTAATCCATATATGTTAGTTTACACCGCGTGACACGTATTATCATAAAAACGTAATGTAGCGGTTGAAAAGAAAAACAGAAAAAAAAAAAAACGCTGTTCAAAAACAATATCCGTTTTGCGGATAACCTCAATAACGCGCGTATAATAATGAAATACATGGTTTTCAATGCACGTATAGGCGCAGCCGGTTGCGAAATATTTCACGAAGAAAATAAACCATCGGGACGGAAATGAGTATACTACATAGCGTCCTTGCAATGACGTGTGCATAGATTTACATACACATACGTTCGGAAAGAAATTTATGATAAAAAAAAACTGCCCACTACATAATATGTGATATGTTGATTTGAGCATCACGCCGTCGTTGGAAACCAATAATGTAATATTGCAAATAGGTACCGACCGGCGATACAATAGTATAATTGTTCTCGGATACCGAACCTGCGCTACGTATTAGATATTATTTATTACTATTATTATACTATAGAAACTAGAATTTAGAATATCTATATATATATATATATATGTATCAATGGATAGGATTCAAAAATTAAATATCTGTGTATTATATCATCAAGTGATTTATTTTTTAATGACCATAATAAAAACAATGTTTAGTAAAACAGTCCATACCTTCGAGTACATACGTCATAATTGCTCGGAGTGTAAAAATCAAAATCGATTAAAAATGCTGTTTTTATCTTTGGTTCGCTCGATTTTAAAATATGGTTTAGTAATTCGGAACCCTACCTAACAATTTCTTAGACGAATAATCAAAATCGAACATATCCAGAATAGGTTTTTACATTTATTTGTGAATAAAACAAAATGGGTATATCGCTTGAGCGGTCAAATTTAATAACGAATCGCTTAAAAGGAGAAGAATAAATAATGATGTGCTTTGGCTGTTCAAGTTATTTAATTCCGAATCGATTGTCCCGAATATAACTACGTCGAATACCCATAAATGTGCATTGTGTTAATTCTCGAGTACCTCAAACATTTAACATACATACCTACCGCCATAATTGCATCCATTCGCTTCGATTAATAAAAGACTGCTAATTTCAGGCAATCCATTGAAACACTATCAATTTTTTCAATAATTACTCAACCCGGTTAACTAACTCGAACCATAAATAATTTACTTTTATTTTGTTATTGATAATTAATCATATTGTTTATAAATATTATTATCACACACAACAACAAATATTATTTCACTTTTTTTTGAAGAAAATATATTTATTTGTGTTATTGCCTGTTAAAAATCAATTTTAAAATCTATTTCACAGCTTAAAAACATTAAACTATCCGATCCCCGGGATACTCGCCATCCTTTTAAATTGAGACACGTACCTCAAATAAAGTCCTTCGTTACGTCACTGCCGGAGGCCTCTGATCTAAAATACATTACGATTATTTTACCAACATACAATACAATTATTTTACTACCTATGCCATTACCTCGAACGTCTTACATCCGAGATTAGACAAAAACTCGAAAAATAATCGAATACGTTTTGCAAAATGTATGAATCTTAGAACTTGAAAGTTTTGTCGGTTATATCACAACAGCATATTTATTTTTTATTCGACTAGGAGTAAATCTGAATCGAGAATAATGACTGAAAATGATTTTCCTTAAAAGTACGCCGCTGTGAATCCAATCGTCTCTGTCTTAAAAATGAGTTACAAATATATTTAACAGTTATTTCATATATTCATATATTATGCTTAATATGATCCTAGTGAATCATAAAAACATATTTTTTATTCAGAGAATCTTTGTTTAACGAATTTTGGGTTCTTTATACTTTTTACGTGTGCATGAATACAAACATTAAATGATTGCAGTCATATTATTTATGATTACTTAATTATATGTAAACGTAAGTGCGTACATATAAATATTATTTAAACGAATTTACACGTCATAATTGCGTTTGTTTCTCTTATGAAACTAATGCAACTGTAACTCGATTAATGTTATCAAAAACAAAGTATAAACAAGTACCTATACACAACCGGTCGTATATCATTTTGAGTGCTGATATTACATTAATTCTACGTTAACGCTTGAAAAAATATTTTAATTTATATTTTCGTTTTGTTTTAGGATAAAAGAATTATTGTCTTCGACGCTAAAACTTCAAAATGGACTTCCTGAAGCGGATGTGAATTTCAAACCTATTCAAGATGATTTGAACAAGTAACTATATTATTTCACAAAGTCCGTATAAAAATATAATAAAAAAATATATATAAAATTGTTTATTATTTCTCAAATATTATTAGATAACTAATTTATATTAATGAAATAATCATAATACGAAGATAGCTATTTCAATAATAAAAAAAAAAAAAAACATATGCTTTAATATAATATATTAATATGTAAATTTTTAGAATGAATAGTTAGTATAATATTCGTTAAAAATAATAATTTATTGATTTCTAGGAATAAATCAGTAAAAAATTATTATAATTTAACAATATACAAATACTTGAAGATTAACGTACATTAGTACCTGCATTTAGTTATAATTGTAAATACAATCCACTTAAAGTAAATAAATAAAAATATATTTTTAAAATAACGTTTTTATGTCCTAATGTAAGTATACGTAAATTAAATTTTAATGATTTGGTTAAGATATAGGATGAGGAAATTGAATTTTTTTTTAAATACTTAACAGTAATATGTAAGATAAGTTTAAAAAATAAAAATAAAAATACTTTCTCATACTTTCATCATATGACATATATATATATATCGTAATATTCATATTCATTGTATATTTTAGATGGTTTATAAGTTCAAGGAATTATTCATTTGTATTCAAATTAAATAAAAAAAAGGGATAAATATCATGATTATTATTAAAACAATTATAAACAGCAATTTAATTACTAAAAACATTACATGTATAATTTTAAATTCTATTATTTTTAAATTATTTTATCTAGAATCACCGACAAAATATCGCCTGTAAAATATTGCGTGACCAAAATATCGCAACTAAAATATCGCGAACCATTATATCGCATGGAATAAATATCGCCAGTATACATATCGTCAGCATGAAATATAGCAATAATTTAATTATAAATAAATAATATATTTCAAGCATATAATATTGTTATATTAATATATAGAAGAATTGATAAAAATTATAAAAATATGTATAATTTAATAAAATTCATATGAGTATTAAAAACAAATTAAACATGTATATTAATTAATGGAAGTATATATTCAATGAAATACCTTGAAGATAATCTTCAAACTCTCGATTATAATAATCTTCTACTACTTTCTTTACTCATTCAGCTCAACTGACTGTCTTGTTCTTTTTATTTGACGTATTTGGATTTCCTACTATACTTTGACTTATTTTAATTTCCGTTAGGTTTTGTTGACGTCTCAAACCATTTATAAATTTATAGATTGAAGGATGTTGAGCAGAAAGTAAATTAACAAATTCGTTGTTAAATCCTTCACAAATATTGTTTGTTATATCCCAGTCACTTTGTATTGCCTCATATACATTCCATAAAGGTATAGGAAATAACGGAGGCTATCTTCGCCCCCGTTTTATAGTACCAATCTAAATCTCCTCAAAGTTTGTTAGGAAAGGAAAAACAATCTGATTATTTTTAACAAAAAAAATCTAATTTTAATATTTTTTTATAAACATCACAAACATCTGATGGTGGTATAAAAGCCAGAGAGCAAAATAACAAATTTTTTAAGAGAAAATTATATTTTCTTTGAACAACTTTTTCATTTCTGGAATAGTTTGTATTTTTTTCCAAATAGCTTTCATTAGTTGAAAGTAGCAACCCCGTTGTTTAGTAGTTAAAAAACACTTACTTACTTACTGTACGATTTTTTAGAAACCATTTCGAAATCTGTCATGATAGAGTCTGGTTCGAACTCTTAATGTTCATCTGCTAGAAAATTAAATAAAATATCGTTAGCTTGTTCTGTTCTGTGAGTTATTATATTGTACATCAATGGGAATATGGACTTGTCATTTAATTTTCTGTGAATTACAAAAAACTGATTAAAAAGTGGTGGAGCAGATTTAAATGTTCTATCCGCATACCATTGCAAATATTTTTTTAATATTTTCAAATTATCCTTAGTAAAAAATACTAAAACACGCATATTTTTACTTCCAAAGTCAAAATATAAAAAATTTTCTTTTTTATCTGTTATTTGATAACTGATAAGGCTTGTTATCAGTCGATTTGTTATAATAATTTATAATAAAGAGTAAAAACTCAATTCATTTTATTTATATCAGTGTTTTCTACGAATGATAACAACGTTGTGTAACAGTTTTATAAATAATATAACAATAAATTACCGTATTCATTTAAATAAAACGCAGTTGAAAATAATACTTAAGTGTAATTTTATAGTGGGTTACACTGTTTGGCCGTAAGATTGTAGACCACCTAAAATAATACCTGCATAATAATGCTGTAGGTTTACACTAATTGGCTTGCTGAAGAAAAATTGTTTGAAAATTTTGTCGTGGCTTACATCAATTGACACTGTTTTAACAGTGTAGCTTACACTAAAAAAAATTAAATTAATTCGAATTTAGACTGGAACTAATCATCTGAGGATTACAATATTTGGCCACAATGTGTATTTTCTCTATAAGAATTCATATAAATTTAAACCTGAAATTCGAAAAAAATGAGGGTTACATCAATTAAACTATTAGCCGACGGCATTAATGCATTGCTAGATAAAATATGAATACGATTAGATAAGATAAAGTTAAATGCAATATACAGACGCGATAATAATGTACGGCGATATTTTTTTACGATATATTGGTTTCGTAATGTTTTTGTTGCGATATTTTGGTCACGTGATATTTTACCGACGATATTTTGTCGGGGTGCCTATATTAATTTTAATTTAATTAACTTTTTATAAATTATGATAAACGAAATTCTATCGTCATATGATGTGACGTGTGACGTATGTTCATAAGATTTTCATACCAAATATCATCTTTTTTTTTTATTAAGGGGAAAAAAAAGGAAAGCCTTGATAACGGGACCATTGGCTTTTTTACAAGGGTACTTAAACTAAGTTGTACGATTTAATATTTTTTTATGAATAATAATATGTTTTGAATAGCTTCTATGTCTGAGCCGAGTGCGCCGTGAAGGTGCTCAGGTATGTTGTGTTTTATTCGGGCCTCTTGAGTGTCTTTGCATTCTGTGATGATGTGTTTGATTGAAGTTGGGTGTCCACATGTATGACATATTTTGGGAGGTTCTTTTTTCATGAGATGTGCGTGCATGTAGTATGTATGCCCTATTCTGAGGCGATTTAATATAACTTCATCTCTTTTTTTGAAGAAAACTGGGTTATTCCATTTTTCTGTAGTTCTTTTTATTTCGTTTAATTTAGTGTCCATATTTACCCATTCGTTTTGCCATTTGTTTTTAAATCGGTTGTATATAATTGTTTTAATATCTTTGTCTGAGTTTATATTCCAGAGAGTTTGTTGATTTAGATTGTTCGCTTTTTCCTTGGCTAGTTTGTCCACCCTTTTGTTGCCAGTTATTCCGCAGTGTCCAGGTATCCATGAAAAAATTATGTTGTTGCTAAATGTATGTGTCAAGTTGATAATTTTACTGACGATGATATTATCGTTATTAATATTACTAATGCTAGTTAGAGTGCTCATAGAGTCTGTAAAAATTACATACTTTTTATTTTGCAAGTTAGTACTTATTATATAGAATAGAGCTTTATATATAGCGATGCTTCAGCTGAGTATATGCTACAATAATCGGACAGCCTCTCTGAGAGCTCGGTCTGTTGGATGACTGCCGCAACACCTACGCCATTGTCTGTTTTTGAGGCGTCTGTGTATATATGTATGTGGTCCGATAATTTGTTTGATACTTCATAGAATAAATTTTTGTATTTATGAGTTGATGTTTCTTTTTTGTTGTAGTGCGCTATTAACATGTCAAATGAGTATTTTGTCGTTGTCCAAGGTGGTTTTATGGGTACTTCTCTAGTCATTATATTATTTATTTCTAATTTAAGTTCTCGTTCTATCTCTTTAATCCTTTTGTATATGGGTCGTATTAATTTTTGGTTGTTATTAAAAGTATTTTCAAATCTGTTGTTGAAAATTATGGAGTACGTTGGTTTATTCGGGTCAGTTGCTGTTCTTATTGCGTATTAAAGCATAAGCTGATTTCTTCGACTATTAAGAGGTTGTTCTCTCGTAATATTGAGTATGCTATTAATGGGGCTACTTCTAAAGGCACTTGATGCTATTCTTAGGCCAGCATTATGGATAACATCAAGTTTTGCCAGTATTGAGTTTTTCGCTGTCATGTATAGGGTTGATCCGTAGTCCAAAATTAATCTGAGAGATTTGTATATATTTATAAGGGTCTTAACATCTGCTCCCCATTTCGTACTTGTGAGTACTTTGATAATATTCAATCTTTTTTTTCCTATGTCATTTAATTTTTTTATATGTGCTGTCCATGTAAGTTTTTCGTCGAAGGTAAGGCCTAATATTTTTAAGTGTTTTGTATAAGGAATTATTTTGTTATCCATTTTAATGGTAAGTTTTTTATTAATTCTTTTGTGTGTAAAAATTATTGATTAAGATTTCTCAGGTGAGAATTTGAATTCTGTACTTTTACTCCATTCAAATAACGAGTTTGTGTATTTCTGAAGTTCATTTTCTATAGTGCCAATACATTTATGTCGTACGATGATATTGCTGTCGTCCGCATATAATGTAATTTTTCCAGGGGATGGTATACGTTTAGCTAAGTCATTTACTGCTATTAGAAATAATTTTACACTTAAGGAGGAGCCTTGGGCAATCCCGTTGTTGAGATTATATGACGACGAGTTTTGTCCGTTGACAGCAACTTCAAATGTACGATTAGTTAAAAAATTTTGTATTAAGTATAGAATGTTATCTTTAATGCCCCAATCAAGTAAGATTGAAGTAATTTGATGTCTCCATGTCATATCGTATGCCTTTTATATATCGAAACTCATCAGTCCCATGTATTGATTACATGCAATTGTTTCGCATATTTTTGTCTCAATGTTTATGAGGCAGTCATAGATAGATCTGTTTTTCTGAAATCCAAATTGTTCTTCTGCGAGTAGTTTATTTTTCTCTAGGAACCAGTTAAGTCGGACGCTGATTATTTTTTCAAATATTTTGCTCATTGTACATACAAGTGATATCGGCTTGTATCCTTATACTAAGAATTTGTTTTGGTTAGGTTTATGTATTGGAATGATGGTTGCATGTTTCCATTTTTTTGGGAACTTGTGTTGTGTCCACATTATATTGAATATTTCAAGTAATGTAGTTTTTCCTATTTCGGGTAGATTTTGTATAAATATAAATAGAATGTCATCCGGTCCACAGCAGTTGCTCTTTTGCTCACTAATAATGTTGTCAAGTTCTTTTCTTGTTATCATTAAATTTAGATATGGTGTGTCATTATGTTCAGCTGCGATTTAAATTCTCTGAGATTTATATTTTGTTTTTCAACTTCCGATTTGTAAATTATAAAATTCGGGTCAAAGTTTTTATCGTCGCTTACTTCCTGGAAGTATTTACCGAGTGCGTTTGCTATTTTTTTAGGTTCTGTAATAATGGTTTTATTATTATTGATTCTAAGTGATTTGATAACAGTTGAATTTTGAACACCTTTAATAGATTTAATTTTGTTCCATACTATATTTGGATTTTCGCGGCAGGATATTGATGACGTAAATTGGTTCCATGAGTTTGTTTTGCAATTTTTTATTATGTATTTAGCTTTAGCTCTTTGTTTTTTTAAATTCGATTAGGTCGATTATATTTCTACTTTTTCGGAATTTATTTAAGGCTTTATTTTTTATTTATTTTTATTTATTATTTTTATTATTATAATTCTTGTTCTACCCCCCATTCGAGATTGGTTGATATATTTACTGATGAAAAGGATAGATCTATAGCGGACAAGGATCCATTCGCAGCATTGAAATGTGTAGGACTTCCGTCATTTAGCAGTGTGATATAATTATAGTCTAGCATTTTTTTCTATTTTTTTTCCTCTCATATCGATATGATTGCTTCCCCATAGAGTGTTATGGCTATTAAAATCGCCGGTTAGTATGTGGAGTTGTGGTAGTTGATTGATTATATTTTCTAAATTTTCAATTTCAAAATCGTGTTGGTTTGGAAGATATATGTTACAGATAGTTATTTTTTCTTTTGTGAAAACGGTTATTGCTGTTACTTCAAAATTGGAAGTAATTTTAATTTCTTCAGAGGGGAAGGATGAGTTTACGTTGATGCGCCTCCGCTGGCTCTACTTCTAATGGAGCGATTTTTTGAGTATCCGAAGTAGCCTTTAAGTTCGGGTGTGTGATTTTCGATGGTATTTGTTTCTTGTAGGCAGATAACAAGTGGTGAGTATTTAAGAATTAATCTTTTAAGGTCGTCAATTTATTTTATGGAATCCGTTGATATTCCATTGTAGTATATTATGATTTGTATTTATATTATTTGATATTATATTATGCATGCTAAGTATTGTATTATATGTGGGTATGGGATACAGGTTATTTATGTATGTGTTTCGGTATATATTTTGTATGTGAGACATTGTTTTGCGTTGTGAAGTGATTAATTACATATATAAAAAGCTATAAATGATGTATACAAATTTATTGTTTGAAACACAACGAGTTTAGTAATTTTAAAAAAAAAATATTTCATTAACTGATTATTGTAGGAACGGTCCGAGCAAAGAAATGAAAGGTGCTTTGAAAGTTTTGAACCATTCTCTGAAGAAAACATCAGCCACTATATTACCAAGGACTCAACTAAAGCAAGCAATAGATATTGTCCGAGAAGAATGGTTTAAGGTGATTATTTGTTTTCTAGTTAAATTTATTATTGTAAACAACCTGTAAGCGTTGAATGCAAAAAAAAAAAAAATAAATATGTTTTTTAGGTGGCGAGTTCGAGGAATTGCGCCGGCCACCTTGTAAGGAACTATGTCAACTGGTTCACTTCATACTCGCCGGTTTTATTGGAATTTATAATCAATATGACAGACGCTGCGGTAATTATTATTTCTATTCACTCTATCACATCCATTTCGCAACGATATTAGAGTAAGACACGTGCGATTGATAACAGATCATTGACAATATTTATTATATTATTATTGCTAATGAGTCAATGTAAATTATAGAACTTTTTGGCTACGCCATAGACGTTTTTTTTTAAACGTACTTTGAAACGCAAATTGAGCACATTTTTATATTTCATAGTTATTCATTTAACATATTTTTAGGACTCATAAATATTAAATGAATTGAAATACTAAATACCTTTGAATATTCGTTAAGCGTGAACTATGCTTATTTTTATAACCGATTATTGATTTAAATGTAAGATTTGATTCTACATTTTTCTAAACATTAAAAAACAATGTCTATAAATGCGTAGATAAAATCAATGTGAAAAAAGTTTTAAGTTAAATTGTTAAAGAAAATACTAATATATAATAATATTTGTCTAAGTTGGTTTGATATATTATTTTGATAAAAAAAACACAAATTAAGTATTAATTATTGTATCATTATCATAGTTAATCTAGAATCAAGATGCTATTTATTTGAATTGGTTATTTGAGTGTATACAGTTGTGTGATTTGTAAATAGTATGTTCTAAAGCTTTTTAAACATACCTATATATAGTCTCATAGATTTTTTTGAATTTAATTGTATTTTATGTTAGGGAAATACTGTATTACACTATGCGATTTCTCATGGAAATTTCGACGTCGTATCAACCATAATAGATACAGGCTTATGTAATGTAAACTTGACTAATGACGCGGGATATTCGAGCATCATGCTAGTTTCATTGGCCGAAATAAAAAATGACGCCGAAATGAAAATCATTAAAAGACTGTTCCAATGCGGTGATGTAAATCTGCAGGCTCAAAAGGTACGTATTTAAAAGTGTATTAAAAAGACGAAATAATTTTTAAAAATCACAAAACCTGTTTTAAGAAAATTGAGATAAAAAACGATCAGCCTACAACAGATATATTTTGTTAGTAATAAATTTATATTGGTTTTTGTAAACAGCATGGCCAAACGACACTAATGTTAGCAGTGTCTCATGGTAAAACTGAAGTAGTCAAATTACTCTTGGAATGTGGAGCTGACCTTAATATGCAAGACGAAGACGGCAGTACAGCTTTAATGTGCGCCGCCGAACATGGTCTACAGGAAATCGTCAATATACTATTGTCTTGTCCCGAGTGCGATGTATTAATCGCTGACAATGTAAGTATATTATTGGTTTATCGACAGTAATTGTGTATAAATATTACATAAGAAATACAGTAAAAACAGTATAGTCGAAATATTATTAACATAGAAGTACCTATGTCTAAAAATATTGAACTTATTTTAAAACATCGCAGTTGACTTAATGACAACATCTATTGTATTTATTTTATACCCAGTTATCATATATCAAATTCTATAAATATTTGATCAAGATAAAATAATCATATTTTTATAATTTTTAATACATTATACACATATATATATAATTGTACAAATTCTAAAAGCAAATTAATGCACAGTTTCTATAGGATATTCTTGTTATTTTTAATTATTATGTACATACATTATATTTACATGTATATGTAACTTACTAATTAATAATAAATAATAATGCCCAAATCAGTTTAATTAAATATTTTCCAAAATTTAAAAAGATACAATAAATTTAAAAGTTCCAAAACAGCCATGTACCTTATACATGTATATATATTAATGAACTTAAATAATTGAACAATTTATGATTAATAACTATATAACTATACTTAAAAAAAAATTCAGATTTTAAAAAATTCTCAAAAATGTATATATTACTCAATTTTATTGATTATTTATTCATTTTTTTTTTTTTTTTTTTTGTAGGACGGAAGTACAGCACTTAGTATTGCTATGGAAGCAGGGCATAAAGAAATAGGTATAGCTCTGTATGCTAAACAACATATATTATCCAGAGAAAATTCACCATTCAATCTGTCAAAAACGAAAAGATCAAGAAGTGCAAATACTGTGATGCCTTCTACTTTATCTTACTCACATTTATCACTGAAAAAATCACAAAGTCTACAGCCCCGAGAATATGCAACTTTATCTTCCATGTTAAAAACCAGGACTCCTTAACAATCTTCTCTTTATATATATATTACTTAATTAACCTAATAGGATGTCTATTTAAACTTTATTATAAAATGATTAGCATCAAACTTTTTTTGTTATTTTCAACATTTTTAATATTATATTATGTAAATTTCACTGTGGGGATCATAAACCCATAGTAAGTCAAAATAAAAACAATGTATAGCTATGTCATTGCCAAATATCTAATACACATAGCAACAATAAAATAAAATATTTAAGTATAATTGTTATTAATTATTTTTTAAATTTTATTTTTAACTAATGTGTTTTCTATGGTTTATAATATAAACAACTATGATCTTTAAACCAGATAATATGTTTTGTATTGCAGCAATCTAGGAATTAAATATTATTCGTATAAAAATACTTTTTATCAGAAAGTAGACCCTAAATGCTTTTAATTATAAAAATATAAATAGCTTTTTATCATGTAGATGATTAAATTAATTAATTTTTTTTAGCCTAAATAATAAATTGAAAAATACTTCATTGTAAAAAAACTAACAACCTTTCCTTAATTTATTTATACAACTATCAAATCAGCCATAAATATAGTTTACTTAACATCTTCATGTTTTAAGAATAGTTGCTTAATTCGCACTCCTACTAATTAATTAAAATCTAAAATCTAATTAAAGAAACGATAGTATTATGACTCATGTATGAAAATTATTAAAATTGTTTGTTTTTTTTTCTGAGGAAAAACGGTTTATATATTGTATTCATAAATGTTAACGGTGTTATACTTTGTTTATATTATTATCAGTGTATCATAGATTGTAATAGGCAGAATAAAAAATGAATAAAATAAGTAAATCATCTCCAACGTAATAAATATTAAATGTAATACTTAATATAAACCACCTATCAAAAAGAGTCATTGCATTCAATTCTCATATGTTAGACGCAGTGACGGTACATATTTTGGGGCCCCGGGCAACTTTTTTGGGGGGACTTAATAATTATACCATACGATGATACTTAAATATTTATACTTTTTTTTATGCAGCTTATTTATATATGAATTACTTTTGTTAAGTAGTGAAAAAAAATGTATAGTACATCTGTAAATATTAAAAAAAGTTTGTTATCCATAGACTATCTGATTAGGAAAAACTTACATAACGAGCATATTAAATGTACAAGTTACTTAAATGTTTTTTAAACTATAGGTAATAATAAAAAATCATTTGAATAAAATTAAATACTCAAATAATAATAAAAATGATTAAATATATATTGTATAAATTAAATAAATATTACATTGGATTTTAACCATAGCTTTTACCAAACCTTTTTTTTTCTAGTAACTTATTAGCTCGCTTATTAGTCTCAAATGTTGGTATTTTTACTAACTTTACTAAGTATTAATAACTATCTCGTAATTATGAACCTACCATGGTAGAAACTATGGAATATGGATAGGGGCAAAACCACAACAGAGATATAAAACGTTTAAAAACGTAAAATGAAAAATATAAAGAATAAATATAAAATATATTAATGAATTTCATAAATTTAAATGTACATTAAAAGTAATTAAAATAATTTTTTTCTTGTTTTTTTGCCTGCAAATTCATTTATAATATCATCATAATTAATTTTATCTGATATTGCTTTTTCAATTGATATTATAGACAACCCGGTAAGCTGTTCTTGGCTGATCCTATTGCGAAGATAATTTTTTATAATTTTTAACTTAAAAAAACTTCTCTCTGCGCTAGCTGAAGTGACTGGAATGGTTAAAAGTATCCGAAGAGCAACACTAATATTCGGAAATGAACCATTGGAATTTTTAACTATAGAAAGTACTTCAAGAAGAGTTTGATTCTCATAGACAAGAGATCTGAAGATTATTAATTCTGCATATAAATCTAAAGCATCAATATCTTTTGAATCTCTATCCGTCAAACGGTTTTGAAGGTCCATACAATGTTTTAATAAATCTGAATCTGCCATTTTTGTTAATTTCCCTATTCGAAATAAAAACCCAAAGTCATCTTTATAAGATTCAAGTTGTTTAAAGCGGGTTTCCATTGAGCTTATTGCTTGATCAACAATATAAAAAAAATATTCTTGTCGAAATATTGTTTCAGCATCATAACCTCTTTCATCTTCTACTTCATAATTGAACATTTTCTTTTTTTTTCTTAAACGAAATGATTTAAAATTAGCTTCAATGTCATTTTCTTCACAAATTTCTTTTGCTGTTACTATAAAGTTTTCAAACTCTATTTGTCTAAACAATCTTAAAAAAATTAAAAGACTTTCCAACATTTTATTATAAATGTCTATATCAATATTTCTACCTTGTAAACTTTTGCTAACAACATTCACTTCTATTAAAATACTATACCATATCACCAAACTGAGAACAAATTCAAATGTACTAATTTCATTAGCTAACGATTGAGCTTCACTCTTTGACATAGTATCACTTGCTTCTCTAGATACTTCTTCCAAAGCTTCTATGATATTTGGAAGTTGATAACGAAGGACTTTCACACTATTTACACGGCTCTCCCACCTTGTCTCTGACCACTTTTTTACTGTTAATAATTCACAATGCTTTTTAAAAATATGGCATCGACTTGTTGAAGCAGAAAATATTGTATAGACACGTTGAATAGTTCCAAAAAATGTCGAAGACTGAACTGAACTTTTCACAGAATCTCTAAGAACCAAATTCAAGTTGTGTGAAACACAAAGCGTGAAAAATGCTCTAGGATTTTGATTAATAATTCTAGTTTGAACTCCTTGATATTTCCCGACCATATTTGAACCATTATCATAGGCTTGACCTCTGCAATCCATAATATTAATATCCATCTTGTTCAAATTTTCTAAAAAAATATTAGAAAGATTTAATCCTGTAGTTGTGAAAACTGGAATAAAATCCAAAAAGTACTCTTCAATATCAGGAGATTTTGACTGATCATCATCATACATATTTACTACTCGGATCATGAGTGACAATTGTTCTGCAGGTGTGCAGTCCATGATTACTGTGTAATATTTAGCTTTTTTTATATAATCAACAATTTTTCTTCTGATATTATTTGACATTAAACTAATAAATTCATTCTGTATTTCATGACCTAAATAATGCACATGTGTTTCAAAATTTGTAATTCTTTTAACATGTTCTATAATGACGGGATCGAAATTGCTTAACATTTCAATTGCTCCTAAAAAATTCCCATTGTTTTTTGTAAATAATACATCTGATTGTCCTCTAAAGGCATTATTATTTTTTGCTAAGTAATGAATGACAGATACTATTCGTTTAATAACATCCCTCCAATGCATTTTTTTTCTCCATTAAAACCAAATTTGTTTTGTTGATAGTTGTATCAGTTGATATCCTTAATTTTAACTCGTTCCAGCGTTGTATAGATTTATAATGTATTATAGATCTTTCATGCGACTTCAATGTTTCCGAGAGGTGTTCTAATCATTAAAACCATTGTTTGCTAAACGGCAATCATAATTATTGTCATTAATAATTTCTTCACTAAAAAGCTTACAAGCAAAACAATTGACATAATATTTAGTCATAGAGTACACTAGCCATTGACGATCAACTACTTCATTATTGGGCAATTTACGGTAGTAATAATAAACACTGAACCTTCTTTTTGGATATCCTTCATTAGGTGGAAAGTCACAGTTTTTTATTTGCATAGGACCCAACTTAACAATTTCATATTTCATAATATGAGTTAATACATTAGGCCATGTAGAAAGATCACTCAAATCATAAACTTCGACGTTTTGACTATCATGATTTGTTGAAACAGAGTAATTTTCTTCTTCTATACTTGAAACTGAGAAAGTAGTTGGTCTATTATTGTCTGAACTTGTACTATTAGATTTGATTTGCATTTTAAGATTTTTTGTGATCTATAATAATTTAATGAAAGTACTAATATTTAATTATTTTTTATTTGATAATAATCATTACTTACTTAGACAAATGCTAATATATACTTCTAAATATTGAGAGTGATCTTATTTTTTTTTTTTACATCTTTATACAAATTATAGTATTTAAAAATAAGTTAAATGTATGTTAAATGTATTCTAATGTTTTTTTAACAAATAGCTTAATTTGATATGTATCTTTTTTTATGATTCAATAATTTTATTGTAACAAAATAATTCTCTTTTAATAATGAATTATTTAAATTGTTATATTAGTTATGCTTATGTGTATACATTATGTACACAAAATACTTAAATTTAGTAGGCACCTATATCTAGTATTTATAGTAGCACTAACATACTAACTTCATCATCATTTATATCAACCATAGGAGTATTTGATGAGTCAAAATATTTATTTAAAGATCCACGCTGTGTATTCAAAAATTCATCTTTTTTTTGTTTTTTGGCTCTTTTAAGATTACCAGACAAATATTTTCTGTACTTATCTTTGCTAGCCATTATGTATTAGTGATTCAAAATTGATAAAATTGAATATAAGTACTTATGTATTAATCACTTGAAGATTATTAAATATCTAAAACATAATTTGGAAATTAAAATTGTTATCCTATAAATAACTAAATGATTATTACTTCATTATATCATTATTCATTTATTAAAAAAATTATATTTACTTTTTTTGTTTAATTGTTATTTCCAAGTATATAAAAATGGATTCATTAATTCTTATGAAAAAAGAAAATTAAAAATCCCATCTAAATTGCAAGTAGGTTCGATAAGTCATATACCAACGTTAATAGAAAAAATTTTAATGAAGAATGATAAACAATCATTGATTTTATAGTACCTATGATATCAAACAAATAATATAAATATTTTTCAATAAATGCACGGTGGGAAGGAATAACGAGCTATGTAACACTTTTTCCGATTTCATATTTTTACGGAATCCCGTGGTGATGCTATGGAGCAACATCGATCTATTTTAAAAATCGTAAAATTCCTAAAATATTTTTATCATACACAATCACTGTGTACAAACTTCACTGTTTACAGTAAGTTGACACGACGCGTGACGTGCAGAAATCGCGATTGTGCAAAATACATTTGAAATAATTTTAACTTTCATTCATAAATGAATCAGTTCACAAATTAATATAATAACGGTCAAGTTATAAAAAAATGGTCCAATATGTAATAACGTGCTACATGCGTTCCAGATAACATTTAAATAAATTTGTACATACATTTTTCGTTTTTAGTCGTTCCTGTACAATTTATGAATTGCAACATAGCATCTTATTCACGCCCACCCTTCAAATAGTAATTAATCAAAACAAAATAATATAATAATTAGGTACCTCATAAATGCTTGAAGAACTTTTCGATTTTTTCTCTTTTGTTATCCCATACACGTCGATCAATATTCAATTTAACTATTATTGACAGCAGAATGCAGACTGCAAACATAAGTACTATGCACTATCACACGATTCACGAGCATAGTTTTAATGCACAACACGGAAAATATAATATATCAGCAATAACAATAATATCATGATAGATAACCATCACGACAATTTCGGGTTTATGTTTCTATTTTTAAACGTCAATGTACACAATATAGTATACCTATTATAGCCGATGACACGAAAATTTCCCTGACCACCATACCCGTGTACCATACCACTCACGGAAGCCATGGGTTCTCAAGCTAATTATTATTTATTACATTTTAGTTTTGATTGTTTTGTAAAAAAAATTAATTTTTTTTATTGTTGGTGTTTCTTTTTAAGCAGTATACATCCCGGGGTCCTACCAACCTCGGGGCCCCGGGCAAATGCCCGGAATGCCCCCCCCCCCTAGCGCCATCACTGGTTAGATGTTTAGATCAGATAGAAAGATCATTAGACTAGAAGCGATTTTAAAAGAGGAATATTAAACTTCAATTTTCATTAACAGATTTATATCAATCAAATCTTATTTAATTTACCATGACATTACAAAGTAAACCGTCCAGCACTGTCACTGAACTGCGTACGGTTTTTGATAATATGGTGTATGGATTTTAAAAAGTCATCAACAATGAAACCCCAACAGCCTTATTGTAAAAATAATATTATTTAGAAATGAATGTTAGACGGCGTTGTGTATAGGCAATCAAGAGACATAGGTACCGTTATAATTTTTATTTTATAACACACGTGCATGCGAAATGTGTATACACGCACCAACTTAAAATTCAATTTATATCTAATAAATATTTGTCGTTACTTCAAGGGAAATATAAAACGATTATTTGATTCTCACTCGTAATTACAAATATACCCCAAAATATATGACATTTTTATATGCATGCAATAACTGGTTTTAAATGAAAACATTTACGTTAACACTACAATGGAACCCAGTCGAAAATAATATTAATAAATTGTATATACTATAATATTATACACAGTTTCAAATATTTAAAAGTGTTGGTGAGCGCGTCCGATGTAGAACGCACAATCAAACATAATATGATAGAAACCAAATAACCAAGATGTCCTATAAAATAAGGGTGTTTATTATGGTGATAAACATAAGTACTTGCGCGAGTTACGTAAATTAATAAAATCGATACACAAAACACAATTGACAGAATTAATTGATTCTGGTGCACGGTCCATGGCGTGAGGTCATGGAAAATATAAAAAAAAATCAATATATTACATATTATATTCATTGAAATACCTTGAAGATAATCTGCAAACTCTAAAAAAAAAAGTTAAAAGGTGAATGCGATTAGATAAGATAAAGTTAAACGCAATATACAGACACAATAATATTGTACGGCGGTATTATTTCCTTACGATATATTAGTTTCACAATATTTTACCGACGATATTTTGTCAAAGTACCGTGAGTGAGTACCATTTTTTAGCCTATATTTTGGACCCTCGGTATATTGGTGCAAAATTAACCGAGGAGCAATTAGATAATACTATGAATTATGTAAGTGTGCACCATCAAGAAATTATGGCTGAAATCATCACTTTCCAAGCACAGGAATTTCCTTTTGAATCTTACCTGTTCAATGAAAATATTGTTTTAAAAATTAAACCACAAACATGGTGGACAGCATGGGAAACAACTTGACAAAGGAAATTAATGAAATGGTTAAGCAACTGTTCATATCATGTATTTCATCAGCTGGCATCGAGAGAATATTTTCAACTTATGGTATAGTTCAGTAGTGGCCAAACTTTTTTTTCCTCGGGCCATAAAAAACAACTTTTTTTTAATCGCGGGCCATAAAACAATTGAATTCTAAATTTTTTTTTACGTAAATGCAAAATATTACAGTTATACAAATAAGTACTGTAATATAGAAGATTTTCGCGGGCCAGATATTAAATGATGGCGGGCCGCAGTTGGCCCGCGGGCCGTAGTTTGGCCACCACTGGTATAGTTCATACAAATCTAAGAAACCAGTTAGGTATCGAGAAATCTTCTAAATTAGTCTCTGTATTTAAAAGTTTAAATATTTGTAACAAATAATTAATACTATTGTAATGTTTTAATATTATGTTACCTATCAAGTATATACCTATTAATTTATATGTTATTTATTCTTATGTAATTCTATACTGTTTACAAGATTTTTTATGAAATATTGTTTCAAGTGTAAATAATAATAAAATATATAAGACAGAATTGTCAATTCATCTGATATTTTTCTGTTTTTTTATGATGTTTAAATCATTTGTTTTAAATGTTTTAAAAAAAACCATGTTTGATTAATTTAGATGTTTTAAATTTATTTATTTATTTAATTTTGGTTTCATACAATGAAATACTAGGCCCCACTGAGAAGACTCGTGTGGGGGCCCAGGAGTTCTAATTTTATACATTATATATTTGAACAGTATAATATTACAATTATAAAATATACATTTAAACAGAAAATTGTATACAAATAAATAAGTATTATGTACAAACAGACATACCACTACAAAAATATACATAACTATAAATCATATCAAACTTATAATATTATAAATAATCATCTAAGTCTAATAACCAGTAAGAAATTCTTTTTTTAAATAGTTCAAAAGGAAGATTTAAAATTTCAGATGGTGTTTTATTTATTATTTTGGTACCAATTATTTGGAAATGCCTACCTGATGTTATTTTATTCGACCAAGTTATTGAAAAATTGTTATTAGTATATCTGGTATTAATGCCATGTGTTATGCAATTTAACATATTATTTTTTCTTAGCAATATAGCAATTGTCTTATAGTATAATTTTTTTTATGTTTAGTAATTTTAAATCTTTATTAAGAGTTTCAGAATGATATCTTAACGATTTATTAAAGGCTACTTTCAAAATTTATTTTGGCAGACTTGTATTTCCATTAAAACATTATTAAATGCATCACCCCGACCAACTATACCATAAGTAATAATCGACTATACTAAGGCTAAATATATGTGTCGTAGTTTAGTTGAATCTAATATATTCCGTAGATCTCTAAAAATGTAGATCATTTTTCTTATTTTTTTACTTAAAATATTTATTTGGTTTTTCCATTTCATATTATTACAAATTTCAATTCCTAAGTATTTAACCTATTTTAATATATTAATTGATTCACAAGAGCAAGTCAATGGTACATAGCAAGTTGTGTTATGTATTTTTATATTTTTTTTTTATTGGTAATGTATTTTCAGTTAAAGCGTGTAGGATAACAGAAGTTTTCTCAAAATTAAGGAATAGGTTATTTTCAAGTAACCATTGTTTTATTAATTGTAGGTCTCTATTAATTACTTTAAATATTTTTTCCCAAGAGTTATCATCTGCGTAACATATAATTTCACTTTGAAGGGGCAGTGAAAGTATTTCATTTATTTGTATGTTAAAAAAAATAAAAATAAATAACTGTACCTCGGGGGACACCACATTTAATTGTTTTTAAAGAGCTTATAGTTTTATTTATTTTAACACATTGTTTCCTATTTGACAAGTTACAAGTAAATAATTTTAAGTTATTACCAAAGATGCCTAATTGTTTTAATTTAATTATGAGAATGTCATGGTCAACAATATCAAAGGTTTTAGTAAGATCTAAGTATACTGTAGCACATTTTTTATTGTTATCTAGAGATTTGTATATAAATTGAGTTAAATTGGCTATAGCTTGATCTATTTTTTTGCCTTGGTGAAAACCGTATTGCGAATGGTGCAAAAGATTATTATATTCTAAGAATGAACTTAGTTGTTTTTTAATAATTTTTTCAACAATTTTTGCCAGATTAGAAATTACAGATATTGGTCGAAAGTTATTTATTAAATTTGAGTTTCCTTTTTTATGTATTGGTGTAACTATGAATATTTTAAATATATTAGGTATGATTGATTGAGAGAGAATTAAATTAAATATATATTTTAAAGGTAATACAAGAAATTATATATTTTTTTTTAATGTATTTACTGTAATATTATCAATTCCAGG